GAGTGAAAAATTTAAGGGGGTCTGAATACTTTCCGTACCCACTGTATATATATATATACGGTATATGTATATATATATATATATATATATATATATACAGTATATATACACACACATACACACTTAAGAAAAAAGAAGTGTATGTGTAATACATTTCAGGTTTGGTCTAGCCAATTCACATTTTGTGACATAAATCAAAAAGCAAGAACTGTTGTGAAGACCAAGCGATGACTTTGCAGACTGGTTCTTTTATTTGGAAGACGTGACTTCCTTTACTAGAGCTTCCAAATTGGCCATTTCAATTTACCCCATTCATTGTAATACAAGTGGCCCGTCTCTGCTATACTGTCTCTGACAGAGTGTGGTTTATTAAATGACTCTGTGTGAGTGTGTGATCGGGTAGTACACTCACTCTGTTGGGGTCCATGCGTGATCTGGTTGTGTATGCCAGTGGAGGAATACTGTAGGCTTGTGGCACCAAATACTCCTCGGCATCCATCAGATCCTCCAGTTCCTCCTCATCTAGCAGACTCTGGAAGAACTTACTGTCATTGGGGCTGGGCAGCTTCATTCGGTCGTCACCCTGACACAGAAAGCATCAGGCTTGAGCTATCATGTATTATGCAAAGAAACAAGACTTTATGACACTTATGTGTTTTTTTTATCATTTGTTCTTTTATTTTGTTATTGTACAGCACATCATAGCCATTTGAGCCCAGCTGTGAGGCTCTTACCTGGATGACTAGGTAACGTTGTGGATCTCTTGCCATTCGGCTGAACTCTGCTGCAAGCTCCTTAAATCTGGGTCTGCTGTCTGCATCTATCATCCAGCCTGGAGGGACACACATAGCACAACATCAGTCAGCAAAGTAGAACACAATGGATAAACAATGCTGTGAGCTTTCTGTACATTTAAAAGAAGGTTCTGGGAACAGCATCTGTGAAATGCTAACAATTATCACAGAAATAATTTCCCCCTCTATTTTTAAAACAATAGAAAATGTGTTTACAAAAACGCACATAACAGGTTGATAAGTTGATAAGTTTATCCGCCTAGAACAGTAGAGCACATTAACAACTCAAATAACCTATTTTGTACGGAACAATTAAAATAAGTGATTTAACAAAACTGCAATCGTCATATTTCTGCAGTTAAATCCTCTGGAATTACATTTTCTATAGCCTTTCATCATGGTACGTTCTGTAAACATAATTCTGTCCCATAATATTATTTATGGGTTCAAGCCTCTACTCTGTTTAAAATGAGAATACATCTCAATAGTGTCCCGGACACCAAAATTTTAATGATTCAGAAAAGATGAATCACTGTCTGGCCAACAAAAGTATGTAGATAAAGGTTAGGATCATGGTATTTTGGTAGTACTACAGCACACAGTGATTGTGTTACATTTTAATTTTAGTATAAAAAAAAAATTACTATTTAAAAAAAATAAATTAAAACTGTTTCAAAAAAATTAATTTTAGTTTTAGTAATTTTTGTACTTTAACATTTTTATTTTTATTCAACTATAAATTTTATTTCTGTTAGTTTCCTTTGCAACATATCTCATTTTCATTTTTTGAAAGGTTTTTTTTCAGGTTTTTCATCAGATAATTTTATTTTATTTTATTTTATTTTATTTTCAGCTTCATTTCAATTAACAATTTTGCATAGTTTTAGTTAACAATAACAACACTGTTGCTTTTAGCATCTGAAGGAGCATTTGGATTTGGACCCGTGACGTCCGACTTAACAGGTTAAGAGAAAAAGAGCTAAAAATATATATATTTTTCTGACCACTGTGTCACAATAAAAACATTAAACCATGTTTATGCATTTTAAATGTCTTATGAATCTACAGTTTCTTATTGACAATTATGTAGTGTTTACTTACGTACAACTACACGATTCAAAGGTCACTCACCTACAGTATAAACTCATAGGGTTTCCTTAGCCAACCTGCTTGAACACTAAAAAAGAACGTCTACCAAGATGTGTCATGGGGAACAAAAAAAATTAAAATCTGGAATGTGCAAAGCTCCCTTACATTTGACCATGACCATGTAGACATCAATAGTGCAGATGGGAGGTTGAGGAAGCCTCTCTCCTTTCTCCAACAGGTCAGGAATCTCTCGGGTTGGGATTCCATCGTACGGCTTTCCTCCGAATGTCATCAGCTCCCAGATAGTCACTCCTGGAAGAAAACCCAATAAATATCATTTAAAAAGCTTATAGGGGTGTGCTGAGACTATCAGGTAGGTGTTTGTCCGAATCATACAGAGTCTAGCTGCAAAAAAACAATTGAAATTAGACTTTAAATAAGATAAATTATATTTTACTGAGGCAATTAACTGCAATTCAGGCTCATCTCACCGTAACTCCATACGTCACTTTGGTGGGTGAATTTTCTATAGTGTATGCACTCCAAGGCCATCCACTTTATAGGCATCTGACAAAACAAGATGGAACATATCATTGGAAAAATACATACAGTACATGAAAATGTAATAAAGTAAAAAAAAAAAAAAAAGCATTCATCATGTGAGCACAGCGAGTACTGCTTTATTGTTTATTTAAGCAACTTGACAACGTTTCTTCAAAGCTTACATTGCTAAAACCAAACCTTATCACAGAATCATGTATTATATATTAAGTCTGGAAAGTTAATATTTCAGAAATGGAATAATCAGTGATATCTGACTCTTTTATCATTTGCTTTGGAGGGAAAATAAAAACAGGTTGGGCTAATATGGCAGCAAGAGAGAGATTCAGATGGATAAGATCGAATCAATGTGTACATGAAGTGAAGTGCAGGAAAAGGACACAGCAGCTGGTGGGTGGAAGTTTGTTTGAAATGAAGAGATGCAGAGAGGATGGAAGAATGACACTTGCTTGTGCAAAACTCTCCTTTACAATGTTAGGGTGGGTGGTTACCAGGGTGTTGCTACGCTTTTGCTATGTTATTTTTAGTGTGTTGCTATTGGGCTGCCTGGGCTTATTAGTTCTGGGTGGTTCCTTACTGGTCAAAGTCAAATGTCAAATATCAAATGATATTCCATATTTAGAATATGGCAAATTCTATTTTTTTAAATAAATTTTATAAATTAAAAAATTTATAGAAACTTTAAAACTCTATAGTAAATAACTGTTAATTGATTAACTGTAAGTTATACACTGAAAAACTGTAAATGGTTTAACATTACATGTAGTTTTACTGTAAAATTCTGACAAATGTATGTTTTTTTTGCAAGTAAAAATTATGTATTTCCATATGCTGCAGATCAGTAAATGGACAACATATAATATAATTCCCAATATATTTTAAACAAATAGTTTTGTCTCTTCTCATTTTTATTACCAGTAATGCACATTAGGGTGTTTTGTTTAACATTCTATGTTATTTAGTTAATGTTTAGTGCATTATTTTAGTGTCATGTGTTACAATGATGGTGTTTTGTCTTTGTGTATGACCCTGTGCATTGTCTATAAGTATTGGCCATGTTTTATGGAAAGGCCATTTATAATAAACTCTGATTCATCATGTGGCTTTATATTTTACCACCTGTATTATTATGGTGGTTAATTTGTACATTTTAATTTGATTTTGGTATATTAACATAGTCACGTAGTGAAAAATACAATGCCTGTATATTTCAAAAATTGTAAAATATGGCGTCTTTAGGATTTAAAAAAACAAAAAAAAACAGGATTTATTTCATTTTATTTTTTCTATAGTGTTGGCTTTCTCCTTCAATGAAAAGCAGAATCCTTTGCCCATTTCATCATGAGCTGAAACCTGTAAATCTGATCACTCAGAAAAATAAAAGCACATATTTCATGTTTGCATAGTCTGACTAGTCTGTGATTACTCTGGTCATTAGTCGTGTAAAGTGACCCTTAAGAACCCGTGAGTTTTTGAATGCATGCAGAGTGACAACCTTCTGTCTTGTAGTGTACATTTGGCCTTAGCAAACATTGTTAATTAGCCAGTCATTAGAGGCTGTGTTCTAAAATCCAGGGACAAATGTTTAGTGCAGCAAATTTCTTGATTAATCAAAGCATTGTTGTTCTAACACAAAGAGCACATATAAAGTGATGCTATGCAAACAGGTCAGTGCATGCCCTTTGTCTTGTTGGGGTCACGTGACACTGACCTTGCCCCCATCTGCATTGTATTCCTTCTCATCTGCATCCAGAAGGCGAGCCAGACCGAAGTCAGTGATCTTTATATGGTTGGGTGACTTCACTAGGACGTTCCGAGCAGCCAGATCCCTGTGCACAAGTCTCCTGTCCTCCAAGTACATCATACCCTGTATCAACACACACACACACTTTTAAAATGATCATCAATTACCGTGACTGATTAATTTAACTGTTTGTTTGTGTGACAATCAAAATCATCATTAACACTAACACTACCACAAGCGTGATGATACCATCTCAAGCTAATCACTTAAAACAAAAAAGAAATTGTATTTGTTATTTTAAGACATTTGAATAATAATGTGTACATCTGCAGTACTTTATTTTGCAAATTACTGGTTAAGAAAATTGATCTAGTATAACATATAATGTAAATTCAGTCTGATGGGATAGTTTTTTCCCATTGTACTCCCCAAATATGACAAGTTGCCAGTTGTGTCGTGAGAGTATTCATTAAAATCAATCAGTTATTTTTGTATTGTTTTATACTTTTTTATTATTTACTGATATACAATTTATTTATAAATTGCATTTATATAAAATATAATTATATAAAATAAATGTTTATATTTCAGTTTTTTTTTATTTTAGCCTTAATTTTTAGTTTAAGTTCTAGTCATATTTGTTATGTGCTTGTGTCATTTTAACCCTTTTTACAAATAATTCTATTCTGCTATTTAAGTTTTAGTTTAAGTAATTTTAGTAATTCAGCTTAACCTTATTTCAGTTAATAATTAAGTTTTCTTGTAGGTTTAAGTTTTTCGTCTATTATTTATATTTTATTTTATTTTGTCTTTATTTTAATTACCAAAAATGTTTTAGTGTTTAATAGTTTTAGTGTTAGTTAATAAAAACAATGAACTGACGGTTACAGAGTTGTTCCGTATTTCAGTTGAACAACCTGGTTTTATTATAATCACATTATCGAATGTATTATTTACTTAATGTGCTTAATAAGTTCTACTGCAAGACTACTAGATATTACTGCAAAATACACATATAAATTCATATACCATCAATGACTCATACAGTAAGCTAATCAAATTCTTCATGTATTTCTGCATTAGTGTCATGATAAAATGAAGATTCGTTATGAGGAAGAGTTTGTAGCCTTAAAATTAAATGGTTAGGAAGAAGGCATTAGCAGTAAAATCAAAGTTTGATTGTTCTACCATCACTTTCAAAGACACTTGTGGAGGGATTCCACTGGAAAAAAGTCACAGTGTTATTAATGGAGATTGTTCACATTGATAAGCGATGAGTCTCTTCTCAGGCGTGGCTGTGTATTGCAAAACAATGAAAACTCCAGACATCAATTTTCTGGAGGACCGAACAATGCATGTAATCGATTTAAGTCCAAACTGCAGCATGGAGGCCTTTTGCAGGGCCGCGATCCATTCGCAAGAAAACAGCCTCTCTACTTTTCCTCCAACAGGGCTTTCAAGTGCCCTTGAGCTGGTGGCTGGATGAAATTTAAATCTTAATGTGATTGGTGGAGAGGTAAGGACAGCTTACAGCAAAATGGTTTTACTAAGAAAGCGAGATAGTGAGAACGAGCTTGTAAAAGTGGGGACATACAATTTGAGAGGTCCAGTGTAGCCCATCACAGGTGCTCTATGAGTGTTCACAGAAAGAATCAAAGCTGTGAGAATTTATTCATAGGAGGAACAGGACCAAGTTGCTGTTGCTAAATACAGCTGGTAATGCATCATATACTGGGGGAAATCCATGTAGTGCAATAATTTTTATAGACAATTGAAGGGAAATATCTACAGATTTGGCTATTGCTGGAAGAAAAATAATCCTCAATTTTTTGCGTGTCTTTGCACTTCATAAAGCAAAAACCCTGAACTTTTCTTACAAGACTACTAAAAAATATTGTTTATGTGTTTGTCTGCAGTAACTTATTTTTCAAGTTTAGTTTTAGTTATTTTATACCATATATATGGTATAAAATAACTAAAACTAAACTTAAATATAAATATAGTTTTAGTTATATATTTAATAGTTTTAGTTATTTTAGTATGTCAGTTATTTTAGTACGGTTTTTTTTCCCCAGTTAATATTTATATTTTATTCTGGTTTTATTTCAAATTACCAAAAAAGATTTTTAATAGTTTTAGGGCTAGTGAACAATAACAGTACTGAACTGAATTGATGGTAATATCAGAATATGAACAATTTATGCTATTAATACAAAACTAGAGTTTACAGAGTTCTTCATTTCATTTGAACAAACTAGTTTTATGACATTCACTTTTTTATCTTACTTATTATTTACTTATTAATATGCTAAATAAGTTTTAGCGTCAGACCACAAATTATGCAAAACACTTATTTAGATCTGTGATTCCACCGGCGTTTCTTATCATCTTGTTGCTAAATTGCTTGTATCCACTGTAGTCTTCAATGAACTTTTTAAATTCAAATTACTGAAGATAAAAATCAGATTTTTTGCTTTTATTTGAAGTGCAAAACAACACATAAAAGGAGTACTTTTCTTTATAAAAATAGCTAAATCTGCTGGATATTCTTCTCATTTTCCCAGAAGAGCGTATCTATGCTAATCAAATGGTTATATGTCAAATCTGAGTGAGAGCTCAATTCTAATTGGGAACAAACCAGTGACACATAAAACATATAATGAATGAGGAAAGTGGCTCGCTTTGCAGCATGTCAACTGTCTAGACTCATGAATTGCAGCACAGTCAGATCTGAGAGCATGTTTCCCACTGTACTTATTAATATGATGGCAGCAGCTCTGAAAGAGAAATTCCCCAATTTAAGATGAGCTGAGAAAATGATTGGACCAGCTATAACAGTCTGGGAATGAAGAAAGGGGTTTATTTCAACCATATTCAAATGGGTTTGGGTTAAGCTGGGAAAGAGGATGATGCTTTACTAACAAGAGTAAAAAAAAGACTAATTACACTAATATGTTCCTCAGACAGTTCTTATGTTATGAAACAAGTGTTCTTTACCAAAACCAACTGAGCTGCCTATAGAGGCAGGTTTCAAAGGCATTGTTTTCTAGGCATCTTAATTATGCTGCCCCCTAAGATACCTCATTATGGCCTTTGTAGCGAAGGGACTCCCAGAATGCACATTGATTGAATCAGTAGGAAGTAAATCCAGTAAGGCATTATATTATTATATTATATCCATTTTAAATATACATAATTCATTCAATACTGAAAGAAAAATATGGACAGCCTTCGCATTCAAAACTTCATCCAACACAAGCACACTTGATGTGTCTCCCACAGTAAAAAGTGACTGTGGTTCTAGTTAGTTTAGTCTAGTAAGGCCATATATGAGGGCAGTGTGAATTGGATTGGTAAAAGATAATAAATTAAACAATAAGTCCTCAATGTCCCTCAGGGTTGAGGTCAGTGTCCAGTCCAATGGTGTTCCTAAAGCATTGAGCAAGAAATGCTAATCTGCCTGCTTTGAAATACACAAAAATCTGCAGAACTGTGAAGAAGGAGGGAATACATCTCTTTATGCCCTGCATTTGCAATCTTTCCCCAGCAAGCAAGTGTAATCCGAGGTAATGGTGTGGGGATTACACCCTCTTTGCCCGCTGAAGGAAAAAAAATCACTACCTCCTCTCCATACTCACCCATAACCACATTTCACAGGACTCTATCACATCTAGACATACACTACCATTCAAATGGTGGGATCTTTAAGATTTTAAAAAAGAAATTATTGCAGCAAAGACACATTAAATTGATTGAAAGTGACAGTAGAAACATTTATAATGTTACAAAAGACTTCTATTTCAATTAATCCCATTCTTTTAAACTTTGATAAATGTTTTATAGTACATACAATAATATGTTTTCACTGATAATAATAAATGTTTCTTAAGCACCAAATCAACATATGAGAATGATTTCTGAAGGATCATTTGACACTAAAGACTGGAATAATGGCTGCTGAAAATTCAGCTTTGCTATTACAGGAATAAATTACATTAATAAATATTCATATTGAAAATTGATATTTTTAATTGTAATAATATTTTAACATCTTACAAACCCCAAACTTTTGAATGGTAGTGTAAGTGGTCTTAAAAAAACAATCACACAACATTAGCTAGCAAGAAACTAGTTTCAGACAGCACATTTGTTGACCATTTACAGTCTGTTCACTGTTTCTTTGATGTACTGTATATAGCACACAAAACTGATTAGATTGACTTGAAGAAACATACTTACGCACATACAAAAACCAGACAAATTCACAAAATGACAGGCCTCTGAAGCAAACATGAACATACACAAAGGAAGTGACAATCAGAACAAATGACCACGACTGACAGCCATTCTGTTGCCTTCCTCCTTCCTTCTGCACGCACTGCAGGAACATCTCACCAAAGACATGGTCTTAAGAGCTTTTCAAAGATTAATGAGCCTACATTAACATTAATCGTCTATCAAAATGCAATTATCTTAACGTTTGCAGAGCTGAGGTAGAGAGGAGGGAAATGTACAGTTCAGGGTAAATAATATTGACTTCTGCACAGCTGTACCTGCAGACGGGGAAAGTGCTTGTTTGTACCACATAAAAAAGTGATTACCTCATACTGGCATGGCTTTTCAAGAGTCTTATTTGTACACAAAGCATATCTGATCATTTTCAAATTTTCAAATCATTTAGGCAGTAAAAAATTATGATTACAATGTGAGCGGAGGAAAATAATTTAAAGCAAAGCATCACATACTGTAGATGTGCCTCTACCAAAGCCTTTCATCTCTTTAGCTGTTTTTATTTCTGTAATGAGTAAGGAAGGTTAAGAGACAGGAAAAGGGAAGCACTTTTGTCATTTAGGCCATGGACAGAGAGAGTTTTAGCATTGAGGCCTCTCAAAAACATGGAGACAGATAGAGCTGGAGTGCTCTCAAGAGCCATACATTACAGTCTGGGGAGAAAAACATTGCCTACTCAGAAAATATGATGGAGGCCCCAAGAATTTCTTATTTATGTTCATATCGGAGCCACGCAGACACAGGTTCAGTCCTATTAAATGCATTTTGTCAAAAACAATTTGGTGGCAGTGGTTAGAGTGGTTAAAGTTAAAATTATTTAATGTTGACTCTTT